CAACAATATATAGGGATGTTTCCAACAGACATATTTCTTACTGAACTGCCTTGATTTTGTGCCCTTTTTGCATCAGCTGCTGGTGATGCTTACAGCTTTTGGATAATTCTGCTGGATCCTGAAGATGTTCACAGGGAGGGCACTAGCTGATGGTATGTTCAGAGAAGGATTGAGTCTGCACTTGTTTGCAGAGATGACATGTCCTGACAAGATATACACAGGCAACCATATGATAGTGTTGATGATGCAAGATTGAACAATGTATTGGCTTGTTTAGCTTCTGTTATCAGAATCTGCATCTTGTGTGGTACTTTTTCATCACGCATCTAACACAGCTCTGAATCTGTCAAGCAAAAAGTAACATCATCAGACAACCAAGGGACATGGGCAATTTCACACAACATGCAGGATATTTGCGATTTTAGTTGCTCGACCTGACAACAATGGAGGACCTCACCGTGGCACAATCCGGCCAAGAGTTCGCGCCGCCGCAGCCGACGACCAATAGCTCGCGCCGCCGTCGCCGGAGACCAAAGATCTCGCGCCGCAGCCGCCGGAGACCAAGAGCTCGCGAGCGCCGCCCGCGTACGACTTAGCGCGCTGACCCTCGCCATGTCACGCCGCCGCTGATCTTGGGGAACATCCTCTTCGCCGCCAGCAGTCGGCCGTCGCCGTCGCGTCGCCCGGGAGAGAAAAGGGATGAGCGGACGGTCTAGCTGTTGTGCGCGAGTAATTTTTCTGCTGTTTTCTGCTCAAGAGGGGTAGGCTGTGGGGATGACGTGGACGTTTCCACATCAGCGCGTATCGCTTGGTCCGTAGCAGCGGCCCGTAAGTGTAGCATTATCGGTGGTGCGCCGCCACGTTGCCCGCGCATACATGCATGCATGGAGCCTGGAGGCGGGGCCGCCTGCGCGCGCCAGCCACAGGCCACACTGCGCCGCTGAGGATCTTTCGGAGCACGCGATTGGCGCGGCTGTTCCTGTTCGGTTCCGGCGTGTCCTACGTACTCGATCCTATCTTTCTTTCTTTTCCTTTTTCTGTTTTTTTAGAAACACTCGATCCTATCTTGGCATGGCATGGCATGGCAGTGCACTCACCAAACCACACTTCAGGCCGAGAAGAACAACTCTAGGAAAAGGACCAACAAAAGAGGGGAGCAACAGGTTGGCGGGAGCGAAAGTGCCTTTCTGCTCCCGAGCTCATTTGAGCTTGGTGAACAGTAAAATCAAAAAAAAATAAAAAAAATTCAAAAAATTCTAAATTTTTTTTGGGAGAAATATTGACAAAAGTTCTAAGTACTTGCAAAAATTCATCATGAAATCACATTCCTGTAAAGCGTGGCAAAAAAAAAACAAATTAAGTGCTCCAAAATGCTTTTGAAAGTAGCTTTTTCAGAGTACTAATTTTGTTTTTTTTGCCACGCCTTCTAGAAATGTGATTTCATGGCGAATTTTTGTAAGCACTTAAAACTTTTGTCAATGTTTCTCCCAAAAAAAATTAGATTTTTTTAAATTTTTTTGATTTAGTTTTGATTTTACTGTTCACCCAAACTCATTTGAGCTCGGGTGCAGAAACTCCGCGTCCTGGCGGGAGCTCCTTCTGAAGCCTGTCAACGATTACTTAGGGTGGGCTGAGAGCAGCAGCCGTCACGCGTGCACGCTCCTTTCGATTTTATTTTATTCGCACACATTTTCAGCTTTTTAAATGTTTTTTTTTCAAAAAAAATTGACTTTCTGGTTTTTCACTGGTCTTCCTTAGCTTTTGAATAATTTTTCTTTTTGATTTTTTTGCACTACGTCTTTTTCTACTTCCGTGAGAGGCACGGTCATGCCTCCCCAAAACCAAAAAAAAAATGTGTTTTCGTTTTTTCCGCCATAGACATGATTTTGCTGAGAGCCGTGCCTCTTGAAAACGAAAAATGTGTTTTTTTATTTCATAAGAGTTACGGTTTTGCTTTCATGAGAGCCACGGTCATGCTTTCACGAGAGGTCGTGCCTCTCAGAAAAAAACATGTTTTCTGTCTTTTTAGAAAAGAAAAAAATGAGACTAATCCAAGGGCTAACCCTCGTTGGCATTTCTTTATAGGAGAAACTCTATGAGCACCGCGCGTCCGTGCCGAGACTCGAACTCGGGTGGACTGGCAGCAACCTCAGCTGCCTAGCCAACGGGTCGACGCCCCGTCCTCACAAGAAGCATGATTTTGCTTTCACGGAAGGCATGGTTGTGTGCCTCTCGGAAACAGAAAAAATGTATTTTATGTTTTTTTTCCTTCCGCGAGAGGCATAATTTTGCTTCCGCAAGAGGCACGGTTGTGCTTTCACGAGAGGTACGACCATGCCTCTTTCGAAAAGAGAAAAAAAACATGCTCCCTGTTCAGTTTTTCCGTCTATTTTTTTCATGAAAAGAAAATCTTCAAAACCTGTCAACATGTGATCTAGTTTTAAAGATCTCGACGCGAAAAATCCAATAATGAAAACGGTTCAAGATTTGGCCACATGATTTAAGAGATAAAATGTTTTGAATAAATGGTTACGAAAAAAAGAAAAACTTCCATGTCGCGACAAGTGATGCGCATGCAGTGTGTCACGTGTGGCAACCTGAAAAGATGGGAGCGATCTTTGAAAGAAGTACTCGTTAATTAGTGATTTCGACAAAAGAGAGACAAGAACAAAACGAGGCCCATCCAGGTGGGCTGGGTCACACGGCATAGCACGCCGCCCCGCTCGGCCCAGTCCAATAAAAGCCCAGCTGCCGCCTCCGAGCCGACTAGAAACAAAACCCTCGTTTTTTCCCAGACGAAAAAAAGAAACAAACCCGTGTCCCTCACCTCTGTCCCCATCCCACTCCACCGCCGCTTGCTCGCGCCACCAAGCCCGGCGCGCCGGAGATGATCTCGTCCATGTCTTGGGTGCCCAGGGGCGCCGCCAGGAGCGCCCCAATCCAGGCGGACCCGCCCACGCAGGAGGATATCGATGAGGCCATGAGGAGCATCGCCCTCGCCACAGAGTCAGCCTCGCCTCGCCTCCCCTGCTCTGTTTCGCCCCTGTCGCGGCGACCTCATGACCGTGCATTCTGCTCACAGGGACGACGGCAGTGACGCCGAAGCCGACGCTGACTATGGCGAGATGGAGGTCGACGGCGCTGATGAGGAGGAGAATGAGGATGTCGCCCAGGCCAAGGTCGCCGCCGAGGCGCTCGGGAAGACCGGCTCGGGAGGCGCCGTCGGCGGTGTCTCCCATGGGCTTGAGGAGCTCCACATGGAGGACTACGACGACGAGGATGACGGTAGGTTCTCCCGTTGCCGGTTGCCCTGCCCCCTTGGCTGCCAATTCGATCATGTCTTGTCTTGTGTGTGGCACTGGCTGATGCTTGAACTGCAACCTGTACGTATTTTGCGTCAGAGCCTGAGCTTCTCAGTGCCGGCGGGAGGGGGGATTTGTACTATGAGAACAACGAAGAGGACCCTCATCTCATCAGGAACAGCGATGTGAGTATGATTTCTCTTGCCATTCCGGAGATGTATTGCTCTTTTTTGTTCTTGGTGGTGGCATCAGCATTACATTGTAGGTGAATGAGCCACCTTCTCTGCTTTATTAGGATGATGATGGTGATGAAGACGACGAGGAGATTGAAGACATGGCTATCAAACCTACTGATATGCTGATTGTTTGTGCACACAACGAGGATGAGTTTAACTCTCTTCAGGCAAGTGTCAAGTTATCAACTCTTTTTCTCTGCATTTGCTAAAAATGTAGCTGTCGTTCTTTTTCTCTGATTCTGGAAGTCTTCTAGTAACAAGAAGGCAAAGCGGAAACATTTATGTGGAGCATTATTCTTGTTGGACTGAATAGATTTGTATTCTCAAATTTAGTTGATGTCAGCAGAGTATTGTTTACTGTGCATACAGAATGTGCTTATTTCACATTTTAACCCTGCATTTCCCTCTCTGTGCTGGACATTACTAGCTCATATAGTATGTATGCCCGGTTATATGCATGTAAGATGTGACATGTAAAACTTTATTATCTATGACAGGTTAGTATAGTGGAAGAATTGGAGGACGGGGATCTTAATATGTATGTTCATCATGAGGTCCCTCTCTCAGATTTTCCACTCTGCACGGCTTGGATGGATTTTAACTTTAAGGATGCCAAGAAAGAAGGTAAAATTGGTGTCACTTGAGTTTTAAGAAGCAAAGAGTGCTGCTTTGTTTCTGTTAAACAAATAAATGAAGGCTTATTCTATTCCTCACTACAGGGAATTTCATTGCTGTTGGAACCATGGATCCTGCAATTGAAATATGGAACTTGGATATTGTAATGTTCTCAGAGACATACGACACTATTACTTCATACGACCATGAGTTGTTTTTCTTCAAAGAAATTTATGTTTTGTTGTTGGGCTTTGATGTTATTACACAGGTTGATGAGGTCAAACCACATATTGTGCTAGGAGGACTTTAAAAAAACAGAGAAAAGGTTAAGGGGGAGAAGGTATGCTACTAATATTTCATTGTTGCGCGGGTGAGCGTTCATTTTTTTCCTTGAAATCCTAGCTACATTATTCATTTGGCATGTCATGTGCAGGGAAAAATATACAAGGAGGGTAGCCACAAAAGTTCTGTGCTCGGACTTGCATGGAATGCAGTGGTGAGGTGCGTTTACGTTACAACTTGAGTGGTTGCCTCCCTTGTTGTCTGTTCACTTATTGGACCCCTGCTGATGACTCCTTATGAACTTCAGGAACGCTCTAGCTAGTGCAAGTGCAGACAAAACTATTAAAGTTTGGGATTTATATACCAGTAAATGTGATCGCACACTGCAACATCATGATGACAAGGCAATGATTGCATTCTTCTTATTGACTTCTGTATATATCAGTCCGAAAGGTTATGGTGGCATATTAAGTTAATTTTCCCTTCCCCCAACATTTAGGTTCAATCAGTTGCCTGGAGGTCACCTGAAGTTCTTCTCAGTGGATCTTTTGATAGATCAGTTGCCATGGTAATGGATTGTAAGCCATTATGTGAATTTTTATTCCTTGAATTTCTGCTGCTGCTCATGATGTATTGGCCAGATTCTAAGCATCATGTTGATTTCTAGCATGTCAGCAATTACTAATCTCATCTGTGTTGTGTAATTGAGCCATGGACACCACCCAGTAATGTATGAGTAACCAATAACCAAATATGAACATACTGATTATATAACATATTTCTTATTACCTTCTGATTTTGGTTCCTGGGATTTGTCTTGACAGCCTCGTTAGTCTCTTCTCTTGCACGGTGAAGATGACATGTTAATTTGCATTCTTGTACGCGTCAAAAAAATTGGCATTCTTGTTTTCTGCTGTGTTACTGCAGATATTTTGAAATGCAGTTCAGTGTTAACTTTACATTCTTGTTGAAGAGTCTGTTACTTATCAATTATTATTTTTGTATATTTTGTACTTCCATCTACTGAACTTACACTCTTAACATTTTACAGACTGACATGAGAGGTGATGGACGAAGTTGTCATAAATGGTCCGTAGAAGCAGATGTCGAAAGCTTAGCTTGTGATCCACACAATGAACACACGTTTGTGGTAAGTGATTTCATTGTTCTTTACACATGCTGAAACCCGCTTATTGGAAATTTCTGACTTCTGCTAAACTTGAAGTGAAGTTTCCATTAGGAAACAGTATGATTGAAATCCAGATTAACAGAGTCCATGCTTTTTGTTATGAGAAGCAACATGTTTTGAGTAGGATGCAGGACTAATGGACTATAGACTCGACGATTCTATAAGCGAGTTCAAACCATTTCCATCTCTTAACTGTATGTCACAAAATTTCCGGTTCCATGCAGCTATTCGCCAAGTCGTAATCGCAGAATGAATTTGTGATTCTGATTCACTCAATATAATAGTAATGTGGCAACTGGGTCTTGCAGGTTAGTCTTGAAAATGGGACGGTTCAAGCATTTGATACGCGGACAGCTTCATCGCATTCAAATTGCGGCCAGCCCATGTTTACTCTGCACGCACACGACAAGGCTGTTTCTTCAATATCCTTTACCCCATCTACCCCCAATGTATGTTACAACTTTTATACCAGGTGTGGTAAAAAAAAAGACGCAGCCACATAAACCGAATTACTGATGATGTGCTGTTTCCTCTTGCAGCTCCTTGCGACAGGTTCAACTGATAACACGGTGCGAACTTTGCATTACGAAGAAGCCAATAACACTTCCGACACTGAATCCAACCGGTTGCTAACACATACATATCTCTGAACGCAGGTGGAGCTCTGGGATCTGTCGAACAACCAGCCGTCATGCGTCGCTTCGCTGAATCCAAACCTTGTATGCACACTCAAGTGAAACCCTTCTTTATATTTAGAAGGGATTACTCTGATTACTATGTTGCTCACCCAACTTTCTAATCTCCAGGGGGCTATATTTTCGGTATCGTTTTCGAACGACAGCCCCTTCCTGCTAGCATGCGGAGGATCGAAAGGCAAACTGAAGGTAAGCACAATGCTGCCCATATCCTCTGTCTGTCTGTCGAAGGTTTGTCGCTCATGTCCATGTATGACTCTTCCCATTCACACAATCACTGTACTCTCTTTCCATATTTGGCAGGTCTGGAACACACTGTTGGAACCAGCGGTGGCTAATAGATTCGGCAAGTAGACATATGCTGCGAAATGGATTACAGTTTTCTCCAGAGACTCCTTCCAGAGAGGCACAGAGACTAATGCCCACCACGGTTGTAGTATGGGTAGTGACAAAATGGATCTGTAGTGATCTGTAGCGCAGGTCTGGAACTCACACTCAAGTAGTATTTTAGACCCCGTGTTGGCTGGTTGGACCTCGACATACAGAGTACAACACATAGCGTTGCCAATCCACACGTTTATCTGCTGGAGAGAAAAAAAAACATGAAAATGCAAGGAGGAGAAAGAAAGCAGACATGCATTATCAGCACTGGAAAACATTCTGTTGGTTAGAAAACTGGACTCCACTTGTAATATATCATCCTCCTGTGGTTCGTACAGTTGCGTGCGGCAACGTGGCCATGCATGCACGCGATGCCCTTTTGCTCTGTAAACTAATCCGATCTCTTCACTTTGGGAAATGATCCAGTCTCTTTTCGGGGTGCTCCCTTTCTCTACTGCACTGCACCGCTGCGTACGTGGAGTTCTCCTTTTCCGTGTCACGTCGGCGTCGTGCGGTTTGTGGGTGTTCCAGAAAACAATAATATCCTGTGAGTTTCAGCTCGGAAAAGAAAGGGGGTTTTGAATGAAGAAGGAAAGGGTATAGTGTGCAGTACAGACAGTGTGGTCTCTCTTCGCGGGCAACGGGCGATGGATGGCTGCACGGGTGCACGCACGCACGCACGCTGACGCCTGTCCGAATCAGCAGCGGAAAAGCGGCCCCGGCAGCATCTCCAAGTGGCTTGGTTCCCATCACTTGTGATAAACCATGTATCTAAAAGATTTTATATTAGTTTACAGTGGGAGTATCACGTACCTCCATCTCAATAATATGTGTGATTTAAACCAAGACCGCGACACTTATTTTGAATCGGAGAGAGTACTAGTGTTTAACTTGACCCATTGTGGCTTGTGTGCCTTTTGCGTGTTTGCCTGTGCGCCAATGTGCCATTGATAATTCCCAAGGAAAGCTGCGTGTGCATATGCTGATGTGCAGGTAGGCGCTCGTCTTTTGCCGCTATTATGATGCCTGCACATTCAGCATTACGTGTGATCTTATTTTTATCATTAACATAACATTTGAAATGGGAAAGAGAGAAAAGCCTCTGGATCAACACCTGCGCCATTTGTTCATGTCTTTCCTTTACTCCTTGCTGGCAGGATAATATAACTATTGTTATCAATGGGACCATAACTCTACTTCCAATTCTTGCTGGTAGGAATTGGGGGTGTCACGTCACTTTTGAGCGTCATAATAGTAAAAAAAAAAACTGGCGGCTCTGGGGAAAACCTAGCCCCACCGCTGAGCCTCCTTGGAGGCACCGCCGTGGAGTCCACCCTTTTTTGCGGACCTTTGGATCCAGTTCTTCGGTCAAAAGCCTAAGGCCCGTCCGGGTCGGGCGACAACGTCGGTATCGTTGCTTTCCTCTTTGGGGCGTTGCCTGGAAGAACTTCGGATCCTCTTTGCGCGCTATATAGGCTGGACGCTCGCACCATTGCGGTTTGGCAGGTGCCCATCCGGCAATGTGTTTGATTTGCGCGGCTTCTTGTGTGGCAACGATGGCGGCTTCGGGCAGAGCTGGCTTGCTGATTGGTCTTGGTAGTTGGTCTGTTCCGACGTGTTCGAAGGGTCGCTGAGCCTCGCTTTGTCTTCCTGAAGTTGAAGTTGTTGAGGAGGGGGCCCTTGCGGTAAAGATGCCACACGAGACGGGTGGTCGGCTCTGGCGCAGGCTCGGCGCAAGCCCAACGCTTTTCTCTCGCAATTCTTGTCGAGAGAGTAGGAGCAGGGCGGAATCGGAAACGAGGAGTGTGTTTCAAGAAAAAAATTCATTTTTTCACAAAAAATACATCGGTGTAACGATGCCACACGAGACGGGTGGGCGGCTCTGGCGCAGGCTCGGCGCAAGTCCAGCGCTTTTCTCTCGCAATTCTTGTCGAGAGAGTAGGAGCAGGGGCGGAATCGAAAACGAGGAGGGTTTTTCAAGGAAAAAAAAATCAGTTTTTCACAGAAAATACATCGGTGTAACGATGCCACACGAGACGGGTGGGCGGCTTTGGCGCAGGCTCGGCGCAAGTCCAGCGCTTTTCTCTAGCAATTCTTGTCGAGAGAGTAGGAGCAGGGGCGGAATCGAAAACGAGGAGGGTTTTTCAAGAAAAAAAAGTCAGTTTTTCACAGAAAATACAACGGTGTGATCAACATTTGTTTATGCGTTCTTAGCGAGAATTCCAAATACCGGCTCCACACAGGAGTCGAACTCTGGTCGTTGGCTATAGCACTGGTATCCAACCATTGGGCTGCTGCCCTGTCCTCGTCTCATGGCCTCAAATCGCATATAATATTTTATGGTAGAATTAATTCTTGGCTTCTTGCTCACAATAGAACTATTATTTCCATCATCACTATTTTGTTTCCAGATTATTTACTCGGAAAGGGTACGGTGTTTTCAACGACCGGACGATCCTGCAGCTGATCTAAAAGTACATTCATGCATGTGTCAACCTTTAGTTTACGAGTAAATTGCACATAAGTATCATAATTGGGGCATTGGAAGCAGATTGGTACCAAGATTGATAATTTTTACTTGTCAGTACCAAGTTTGGGGTGAGATGTTGCAAAAGAGGCTAAAAGTGCGTTTTATACGTATTGACAAGGAATCCGACCGGTTGGGCCCGCCCGTCAGGTGCCACGCTGGCTAGTCAGCGCGTGCCCACGCGCTGACTTGGACGAGCCCGGGTCGAACCGTTGAGCGGCGGCTATTGCGTTCGAGCCAGACCCAACCCCTACTCTGCCCTCTTCCTCCTCCTCGCTCCCTTACCGCCGCCTCCCTCCCCGCCCGCCCCGCCGGCCGCCATATACCACGGCGCCGCAACCATGGCTCGAACTGCTTAGGCGCTGTCCTCTTTCTCCCCCGCGGCTACTCCTCCCTCGCGCCCTCCTCTCCCCCGCGGCTGCTGTGCCATAGGAGACGATGGCGTCGGCGACTTCGGCAGGCGGCAAGGGCCGGGGCGATGACGGTGGTAGCGGCGGCGTCCTCCCCCGCTTAGGCGTCGACGGCAGTGGCGGCTACTCCACCTCGGAGTACAATAGCGACGGCGACGATTTTTCGGAGCCGGCGTTGTCGATGGAGCAGAGGCTGTGGATGGCACGAATTTGGGTGGCCAACCCTAGCACCGCCCATCAGTGGACTCATGGCATCGGTGGTGTGCTATAAGTGCTCCACTCTTCCATATTTGCAAACTGAATTGGGGATTAGGGTTAGGGTTTACTGCCTCCATGTTTAGCACTCTAATTGCTACTGCTGTATATGATTAGGTGTTACCTAACTAGAGCAGTGCAGCATTATTCTATTAACTACTTCTCTAAAAATAAAAAACATCAGTTTGTTGTCATATGGTTAACTACCCACTCTGTAATTAGGGTCGCATTGAGATAGTTGTTTACATTGTATACTATCATTATGCTCTGCTTTCATATTCTTAGTAATTGTGTTTATTGGAATTGTTGACTAGGGCTAAGGGTAAATAAAAGCTTTGTTTATATTTAACTTAAACAAAGCTTTGTTTATATGTTAACTAAAAAAGTGTTTATATGTTAACATATGTGAGAATAGTAAAACAAAGCTTAAATGTTAACTAAAAAATTGTTTTATGCTTATGTTAAACTTGGGTACTGAATAGTTGAAAAATCCTTGTTAACCTATGTGTTAATTAAAATTCTTTATTAGCCATGGTTAAATTGTTAACCTTTTTTGTCTGTTATTTCATTTTTGCAGTTTGTATGATGACATTTTGGATGTTAGGTTCCATTTTGATGCTTCAGAAATGTTTGAGCTGAAGCTCTGCAGTTCAGATGTAACATATCTGAATATGATTGCAGTGATGGAAACCCAAGGATTTAGTGAATATGATCTGCTGTTTCACATTGAGAATCCAGATTTAGGGGAGAAAGGATTGGAGATGGTAGAGAGTAATGCTGAGTTGCAAAGAGTAAAGAGGCAGGTTCAGGAGTGTAAGGTTATAAATTTGCTAGTGAGGGCATGTCCACCTCCTTGCAACCGGTTTGAGAGGCAAGAATTGTCCACAGTTGTGTATGAAGAGCCTGTGTTATATGATCTCAGTGAGCCACCCATCTATGATGTTGATCAAGAAGGATTTGTCTTTGAAAGTCGGAGTAGCAGCTGTAGTGCAGCTCATGGTACTGGTGTTTGCACACAAGAGAGTAAGAATGTAAAAGGAAAGCTGAAAGCTGTTTTGGAACTAGAAGAAGAAGAGGGATATGAGGGCAGTGGTGGTTATGATTGTGAAGGTGAAGATGACAGTGATGGAAACCCTTTTTATATGGGTGATGCTGATGACATAGAGATGGATGAGGGAAAAAGACAAAGAGAGTATGATGAAATAGAAGAGGAAGAATCAGATGATGAAGAATCTGAGGAGGAAGAAATGTTGCATTACGATGGTGACACAGAGGTTGAGGAACTTTTTCAAATGGATGAAGATGACAAAGTTGTTTCACAGGATGAAGAAACTGTAATTGTACATGAAGAGAAGAAGAAGAAGAAACAGAAGCTTCCAGTTAGGAGAAGGCCAACAACAAGGTCACATTCCAGTGTAGTACAAGAGGAGGAGCCCGATTTCAAACCTTCATCTGATGAAGAAGAGAAAGGATTGTTGAAGGAGGTTGATGATGATGGTTTTGATCCATTGTCATTTGTGCTGCCAAGAAAAGGAAGAGCAGGGCAAAGCAGAGGCCTCCTAGAAAATGGTACAATGAGAAAATGGAGGCACCACATGAGCAATTATGTCTAAAGATGTGTTTCAAGGATCAACATCAATTCAGAGAGGCTTTGTTGAACTTACACATCACTCAAGGCAGAAACTTCAAATATCACAGGAACTCAGATCAAAGGATAATTGTAGAATGCAACCAAAAACATTGCAACTTCTTTATGGTGGCATCAGTTATAAAAGGTGAAA